GCCCGTGGATGGCCAGAGCCACACCTGCCTTTTCCTGCTGCCCTCCACTGGACACAGAGATCAGGCAGCTCCACCCTCTGGGAACCTGGAGCTCCCCACTCAGTAAGTACCCCAATGCCACCTCCTTCGGCTGCATGCTCTACCTGTCGACGAGCAACTTTCTGGGAGGGTGGACTGAAGAAACAGCCTGAGCTCCAGGGCCGGGGGCTGGGAGAGGGAATCCCAGGCTCTCCACCCCCAGGCCAGAGCCGAGGAAGTGTGCGTTGAAGGAACAGCTGGCATTTCCTTTAGGGACAAGGAAGCGTCACCAAGGAAGGGGCATCCTGACAGAGTTGTGGGTGATGGGGGAGACCTGGGCAGGCAAGGGGAAGGGTGAGGCAGGGCCCTGCCAAGAGATCCGAGCCACTAACCCCGGAGTTCCCCACACACCAGGGAATGCACCTGTCCTTCAGGGACTGTCCGTACATGGCATGACAGACAGCAAAGCTCTCAAGGGCAGCTTTCGCTTGTCCTGCTGTTCCCATAGATGGGAGACAAGGATTCAGAAGACAGAGCACGGGTGACACAGGATTCTGCTGCAGAGAAAGACATCTTAGGGAGGAAGAACAGGAGATGAAAAAAAGGGAGAAAGAGAGACAGACAGACAGACACGGCCAGGGCTATTGCTGGCTTGGAGGACGTCCTGCAGTGTCTCTCTAATGGTCCCCTGACAAAAAGTACCCCCGACTCAAGTCAATCCCCCAGATCAGGCCCACAGCCACCTGCTGCAACCGAGCAACTGTCTTGGGCGTCAGAGAGATAGGACAGTGGGACAGTGGGTAGGGCGCTTGCCTGGTACATGGCCAACCCAGGTTTGATCCCCAGCACCCCTTATGGTCTCCCAAGCCCAGCCAGGAGAAAGCTCTGTGCACAGCTGGGTGTGGCCGGAAAATAAAAAAAGCTCATCTTCAAATTTCCTATCTTTGCTGAAAATCAGCTTACTTGGCACTCCCCCCACCCCAACAGATTCCAATATAACAATGTCTACATTTTTTAAAAATGTTTATTTCTTGGGCCGCAGGGACTGAACCCAGGGCCCCCAACAAATCATGTGTTCTACCCCTGAGCGACAGGCCTGAGCTTTAGAGGAGAATGGTTTTTCCTAGGAGAAAACTCCCAAGCCCAGAGCGGGCAGAGAAACCCGGGGAAGAAGCACCGCCACGGCCCGCACCATCTCATCTGCTGAAGGGGTGACCCCCATAGCATCGCCGCTCAGCGTCTACAGAACGAGACGACAGGATGGACTAGCAAGCCACACACAGGCCTCACAGCACAACGAGAGGAAGGCAGAGGGTGGCGTTATGATGCACCTTCGAAACCCCACAAGTCCCCTAGGCTGCTGCCCTGCAAGGATCTGCCCCACAACCGCAACCCAGACTGGCCAAGCTCCTGCGCCCTTGATCTTTAGTCCTGCTAGTTATTTTGTATCTTCACGCGACTGGGAGCAACAGGCATCAGCAAGGTCACACCAAGGCTAGGATCCCCGTAATCAGGAGCGCCCAGATGAGAGGCAGGTCTGGTTGACGCTGCAGCTCTCACCCTTTCTCTCTGCCATGCCGACTCTGCTTACTGGGAGAGGGTTCGAGGAAGGGGGCTCTTTCTAAGCATTTGTTGGCTGGGGCTCAATTCCAGTCCTGGCGTGCTGCTTCTGGCCATGGGCGCCAGAGGAGACGCACTGCTCCCACCAGCAAGCAAGAGGGAGCAGCAACAAAGGGGATCAGGAGGCTAAGGAGATGCTGGCAGGCGGGCTCCCGGTTCCCCGAGCCTGCCTTCGGCGCAGTGTATTCATTCTGGCTTTCCTTAAAGCCTTCAGGCCTTTAGGTTCCCCAGAAATAAAGGGTGTGCCAATGTCAGCTCCTTGGGTCCTGAAGAATACTGGCTTGGCACTCAGGGCTCCCCGAAGAGCAGAGGAGGGTGAAGGAGGATGGGCAGGCAGGTGGAGAGAACAAGAGTAGGGGGTGCCAATGATAAGGATGCTGAGGGGCTGCTCACGGGCACCTTTACTCTCTCAACCAACAGATGACAAGAGGGCCGGCTGCTCGGGGAGCAGAAACCTGCCTGACGCCTACTTTGCCTCCATGTGAGCTGAAGCATCACCTCTAATGTGGAGCCCTAAGTCTGCCTCCCTCGCAGAATTCTGGAGGAGTACGTGCAGGGCTGGAGGACAGAAGGGCAGGAAGAGAGCAGGAAGAGAGCTTGCCTCATATGCAGCCAACCCAAGTTCGATCCCCGTCACCACACAGTCCTCCGAGCCCTGCCAAGAGTAAGCTCTGATCACCGCTGGGTGGAATCAAAAAATGAGAGAGAGAGAGAGAAAGAGAGAGAGAGAGAGAGGAGAGAGGAAAGACAGAGGGAGACAGAGAGAGGGAGAGGCAGAGAGAGAGACAAAGAGAGGAGAGAGAAAAGAGAGAGCAGAGAAAGAGAGACAAAGAGAGGAGAAAGAGACAGAGAGACAGAGACAGAAAGAGAAAGAATAAATTGCACAACTTTAAAATGACTAATGGAGAGGAGGGATCCAACGTGAGGCCCCGGCACATTATCACAAACTTCAGCACTTCTAGGTGGTTCCGGTGGTCCCCAGCACTTCTGGGCCTGAGCAGCACCACACTGGGCCCAAGCACTGAGCCCTCAGGTCCACAATGCCAGGTCAAGCATTGTTGGGAGCCTGTGCACTGTTGGGAGCTTCACTGGCAATGGGCCTCCAGGTCCCCCGGGCACTGCTTGGGAGGCCCCCAAGATGGTTTATAACAGTGAGAAAGACAGAAAATGGCCAGGATGTTGTAAAAAGGCAAGAGAGGAGCGGATGGGGCTTCCCCTTCCTAGACAGAGGGGGGTCGCCCACCCAAGCCCTCCCGCCTGGCCAGCAGGTCAGTTCTTCTAGAATCTCTACCAGTCAGAAGTTGCTGCCTCACCTCCCACACTGACGCGTTCCCTGGCTTCTCTTTCAGAAGCAGAGCTGGGAGAAGGTGGCCCAACCAGGAAGACCCCCCAGAATGCTGGGGGCTTAATCTTGGGACTCCCAGAGATTTCCAGACCTGAACGTCAGTTTCTGAAGAGGGTAAGATTGGTAGCGGCCCATGGCCAGTGAGCAATTAGGCCTGGCCAGCACTGGCCCTTAGGGGTGCAGTCTGGATGGGGTAGAGAAACTAGATTGGCCACAGAAATGTCCAACCACCTTCCTTGGGCACCCAGACCAACAGGGAGCTTGTGGTCTGACTGCTGACACTGAGAAGGAAGGTGTTTTTGCAATCCATTAAAAAAATGAAATCAGACAATCCCAGATGTAGCTCCAAAGATTGCAGGAGTCACACAGAGGAGACTCTGCAGAGTAGCCAAAAAGTTCTCAAGGCAGAAAATCTTTAGCACGTCTAGGAGGCGTCCGAGAGGCAGAGAAGGCACCCCAGAAAAGCACAACACCGTCTGGCCTTCCCTCCCCTCCTCCACTGCAGATAGGAAGGGTCAGTCCTGGCCTCCAAGAGTCAGGCTGCTCTCATTAAGGTACGGTCACTGGCCTGTACTTTGGCCACCTAACAAAGAGCCTTCCAGCTCAGTCTGAGAGTTCGCCAGCTATTTCACACAGCTAAGTCCCAAGCAACAGGCAAGGAGGGTATGTCAGGACAGGTCGTCTCTCGGAAAGGCTGGAGGAACCGTCACTTTCCGCCATGCGTGGGAATTCCCTGGGCTACATGGCTTTGCACATGAGGAACCCAGAGGTGCTGCTACCATCTCAACTTATCCTTCTGTCATCTACAGTCTTTCAAAGGTCCTGGGTCCTGGAGGGACGGGAGCTAGACCCTGGGACTAGAAATGGTCTGGACCTATTGATCAGGGGAGAGGGAGAAAGAGAAAGAGTGAGAGTGAGAGAGACAGAGGGAGACAGAGACAGAGAGACAGAAAGTTTATATGTGCAAGGACAGTTTAGGACCCACCACTCGTGTGTGTGTGTGTGTGTATGTGTGTGTGTGTGTGTGTGTGTAAGTTCCTACAACTCCAGACCCTCCTGGGTCTTTGCTCCCTCTAGAGGAGCTGACCACAGTCCCAAAGAGAGGAGGAAGAGGAGGGGGAAGGGAAGGAGGCCCTCTGAGGCGGCTAGGAAAGCTCTCACGTGCTTTGGGAGGACCGTGCTGAGCCTGGAGCAAGGGGGGAGGAGGAGGAGGGGCGAAGGCAAGATAATGAATGGGCAGATCCACCCTGATCTGTGATCTGTAGCTAGGATTAAGCAAACATCAGCTAAATTCTTCTGAGGCAGGAAGAGAGATACACTCAAAGAGAACAACCCAACTGGAGAACATAATTCAAGGCCAGAGCAGGGGGGCAGGGGGCCGAGGGGTTGGGGGGGGTGCGGGGGGAGCAAGACCAGAGGACAGCTCATGCCCCCAAGGCAACTGGAACAGGAAAGCGCCGCTGGGACCCCGCGGGTAGGAGACCCGGAGGAAGGTGCTGGGTGTGAGGTGCGTGCGTATGCCCGGCTCTCCCAAGAACGTCCAAACCTCCCCCCGCCGGAAAGCGGGGCTCAAATGTTCTCGAGGGCTACTGGGGACAACTGTTTGGCGAGCGAGTAGTGGGGGGGTGTCTGGGGGGCATGTGGGGAAGGACAGCAGCGGCCGGCAGCACTCCCCGCCTCTAAAAGGGAAAGGGGGCAGGTCTCTCCACTCCTGCTAGAGACCCCCCAATGCTGGAAGCCGAGGAGGCGGGACTTAGGGTCCCCTCCCTCCCACCACCGGACTAGACAGGCCACGGGAGAGGAGGGGCGGTTTCCCACCGCCCACCAAAGGCAGGGAAGAGGAGGGAGGAAGGGGGTCCCCCCTTTGGCCAGACGCCTTGGGGAGCCCCTTAAGAGGGGGCTACGGGTCGGGGGAGGGGTCAGTATCCCCCCTAGGCCAGGGTGGAGCGGAAAGCAGCGCAGCCCCAGAGAGGCTCCAACGCCAGCGCGACACGGGCCCCGGGGCGGGCACACTCACGGCGGCTCCGGGGCGGCGGCGTTACTTCGGGGCTCGGACAGGCTCCGCTCTTCTACCCCCGGCGGTGTCCCAGGCTCCGGCCTCCACTTCCGCCTTTCAGCCGCTCCGGATCCGGATCTCGCCCTCCGACCCGCCTCTCTAGACTCCCAGATGACTGACATGGCAGAGAGACCAATGGGAAGCAGTCTTGGCCGTCTCTCGAGCGACGCGAGTCTGGGGCGACGGAGAGGCGGGAGAGCGCGCGCGGGGCACGCCGGGACTTGTAGTTCTCCGGGTTGGGAGGGGCCTCTGACCGCCAGGGACTCGGGTTCAGGGTGGAGCTCGCTGTTGTTAAGGCGGAGCCCGGCCGGGAACTTTTTAAGGGCCGGCCTAGCGCTCACGTCTCGGCGTGTTCCAGAAGCAGCTGGGGCAGGCGGGTGGCAAGAGGACGGAGTGTGTGGATGTGTGCGTGTGCGTGTGTGTGGATGTGTGTGTGTGGTATGTAACTGGGAAAGAGAAAATGTGGTGTGAACCAAGGTGCATAAGAGACTGTCTTGCTCTCTGGCCCACACTCTGGGACCAGGTGACTGTTGGGGACACTGGAAAGGAAAAGCAGTGCAAATCAGCTCTCTGGAGGCTTTGGGGGAGTAACAAGGAAAAGCCTCTCCTGTCTGAAAGGAAGATGGCCCCTCTTTTGGCTCCCGGAAAAAACGCACCGGGACCTCCTCTTACTCTCCCTTCTGCCTCCTGGGTCAGAACCAGCTCGTCTCTGCTGCCAAATACAGAGCCAGACTGAGTCTGCTGCTCTCTGTCTGTCACCAGTACAGATTAGAGCCCCTGCTGTTGGTGGTGCCCACACAGAGCAAGTTTGATCTGGGGCATAACTTTTTTTTCTGTAAGGTTTCAGACGTTCTTGTGTCCACCCACTTACTACCCCACAATACAAAGCCCCACTTCCCCCTGGCTTCTGCATCAGGCCCCCTGAGACACTCTGCAAATCAGAGCTCACCCCAGAGACCGCTGTGGGCTGTTCCTATGGCACCAGCCAATACTGATATGACCCAGCAGTGCCCAAGGTGACTTGTCTGGTGTCCCCGACAGAAACCCAGCCACACCCACTTCTATCTGGGCCCTCGGGGGGGGGGGGGTGTTCTCAGAACATCATGGCTACCCCCCAGAGCCAACACACACACACACACACACACACACACACACACCACAGTGGTCATCAGAAGAGGGAAAACTTGGGGCAGAGAAGACAGAGGGGGGTCCTTAGGAGGTTGTTGGCCAGTAACAACTTCTTCCCCTAGATCCTGTAAGATGTTCGTGGCCTGCAACAGGAAGGGCATTAGTGGCCAGGGTCTGTCCAAGAGTCCTGGGGGCTAGGTTTCTGGCTGGAGGTGGATCTAAAGCAGGCCTCTCCCTCTCCTCTGTCTGAACGTGTGGTTGTGACTGGGGGAAGGGAGGGAAGACAAGGCAGTAAAGGGGCCCAAAGGGGCCCATTAAGCTCTCCGCCTCATCCCTGGGGTAGCTGGTGGTGTGCTTGCGGTGCCAAGTGGATTAGTTGGCGCCTCGGCCCTTCTGAGGGACAGCAACGGGGCCCAAAGGTATTGTGGGGGTGTGACTGCAAGTTCCTCCAAAGCCCTGGGGAGACCAAACCCCAGGAACCAACAACTAGCAGCCACAGCCAACAACTGCAAAAATAAAGTTTATTTCCTATCCAAAAGTGAGTCCAAGTGTGGCTGGGTAGTGGAGGGCTGTCCACCAGGGGAGTGTGTGAGGAGTCAGGGCCCTGAGTGAGACCATTTCCGGGAGTGGGGAGGACAGGCTGAGGTCCTGGGGCACAGAAGGGACAGGAGACACTGCTGGGGCTTCTTCAAGTTGCTGGCGGCTGGAGACCACCTTCCGTGACAGCCTGCAGAAAGACAGACAGATGCTGGCAGACCCGGGCGAGGGAGAGAAATAGATGTATTTGAACCCCCAACAGGTGCCTATAGAGCTCAGGGAGCTGGGAGCTCCTGCTAAGGAAGGGACTGCAGGCTGGAATGCTCAGAGACCAGACAAAGAATCGAAATCCATGTGATCCGGGGGGGCCTGAAATGATCAAGAAATTGCAACTCCCCACTCCATGGTTTGCCAGATCTTCCTGTTGTTTTGTTTGCTTTGTTTCGGAAACCCAGTGGTGCTCAGGGCTACCTGGAAGATCTAGATTTTGGTTTGTTTTGTTTTGTAGCCACACCTGGCAGTGTTCAGGAACTGCACCTAACCTGAAGCTCATGGGTTACTCCAGGTGGTGCTTGGGGGCCCATGCAGTGCTCCTAGGGATCAAACCTGGGACTCCTGCATATTTTCCCAGCCCGGGGATATCTCAGTTTTTATGTGCACTCTCTGTGGTGCTTAATGTTGCCATCGAATCCCTATTTGCAAAAAATGCTAAGAGAACCAAGGAGATATCTGGGGGCATCAGCTAATTTCCTGTATGGGTTGGGATGGGGTGAGCCCTCCACCTGGGTTGACAATGGGTTGAAGCCTAAAAGTCTTGGGTTCTCTCAATGCTAAATGAGAGAGATAACATAGCAGGGAAGGCACTGGCCTTGAATGCAGCTGACCTGGGTTCAATCCCCAGCACTTGTGGTCTCCTGAGCACCAGGAGTGATCCCTGAGCACAGAGTCAGGATAAGCCTTGACAGCTGAGATAGAGAAAGCACCACCAAGTAAATGATGCTTGGAGGGCTTGCTCAGGATGGGAGATGTATGCTATAGACTATGGACCAAACATGATGGCCACTTAGTACCCATATTGCGAACCAAAACATTCAAAAGGAGAGAGAGAGTAAAAGGGAATGTGCCTGCCACAGAGGCAGGGGAGTTGGAGGGGGCCGCAGGAGGGATACGGGGAACCTTGGTGATGGAGAATGGGCACTGGTGGAGGGAAGGGTACTCGATCATTTTATGACTGAGACGTAATCACAAACGTTTGTAAATTTGTAACTGTATCTCATGGGATTCATTAAAAAAAATTTTTAAAAAAATGGAAAAGCCTTGAGCCCAGCTGGGTGTGACTCCAAAACAAAATCAATCAATCATTATAAATGCCAGTCAGGCCCACAGACTCACCAAGAGGACACTGGATTTAGAGTCTCTACCCATGGCCCAGGGCGCTCCTAGAGCAGATAAACTCCCTGCTCCACAGTGGGGTCTGCCAGCTTCCCCCTCAGGGGACACGGCGTCCCATGTCCATCCTGGCTTCCACCTTCACTCCCAAGCTGGATCTAGGCCCCTCCCTCTCCCTCTGCTCCTCCATTCTTACCTGCCTGGGGTCCTGGGGAGAGAGCAGGATGTGCTATCTGTCCCGCCCACTGGGCACCGGGGTCCGTCTCGTGCCAGCGAGCCTCAGGTGGCCTCAGGTGGCCCTCCTCACAGAGGAGGACAGGGAAGGTTTGGAGAAGGGACAGAGGGAGGAGTGGCCGGGCTTTGTGAGAAAAATCCAGAGAATCCAGAGCCAACCAGACCAGCTGGTGGCTGCTAACCTGAAGCCTCCCCGGATGGCAGTCGGCCATGCACCCCCCCACCCCAGACAGGCCTGGGCCCGGCGCCGGGGTCAATGGAATGTGTCTGATCTGGACCGGAAGCTGTGCCTCATGAGACTCGGGGTGGACGGAGAGGCCTCTGGCACCGGGGAGGGTGCCAGTGGGTCAGGGTCTGAGGGGTAGGGGGACAGCATGGAGGGTCTTGGGTCAGTGGGGGCAGCCGCCATCGCGGCTGGTGCCACACCAGCGGGGCAGTGGACTTCGGCCAGTGTGGTGTCCTGGGGACCGGGCGCCGGTGGGGAACGAAAGGGAGGGATGCCTGGTGGCCTCCGCTGGGAGCAGGTCGGGTCTGGGGGCCAGGCCGAGGCTGCTGACGGGGCCGGAGGACCCAGTCGGGCCTGCAGGAGGTCCATCATATGTCGCAGCTCCCGGCTCAGCTGAGACACCTCGTGGTTCAGACGGGAGATCTGTGGGAAACGCAGCAACTATTTCCCAGGTGCCACAGCAGGCAGCCAACACACCCCTCTCTGCAGCTGGCTCTGCTCCTGGCGCAGGAGGAAGCCTCCTTCCAGGAAGGCCCAGGCCTAGCTCTGTTTTCCCTGCCTCTCCGCCCCGTCCAGGCCGGGACCGTGCCAGCCAGCGGGCACCTCGCTCTCAGCCGACCCCACACAAGCACGGGCCTCGGTGCCCCACTTTCCAAATGTGAGCCCAGCAACAGCAGAGAAACTTGTCGGAACGTGGGGTGGGGGGGAACCCAGCACTTTTCCAGGTTGGGGGGGGGGGCACTGGCCAGGCACTGGGGGCGGGGCAGAGGCGGGGAGCGGGAGTCGGCCTGGCTCCGCCCCCCAGCGCAGTGCCACCCTCCTGGGACACCTGATGTTTATCAGAAGCTGGTGAGGTGACTCCCCAGGGCCCGGCCTGGCGACAGCACTGGGTTCCCCCAGGAGGAGGCGGAGGCAGCTTCTGGGCACAAAGGATCCGGGCTCTGTGGCCTGTGCACATCCGCTGAGCCCTCCTCTCCCAGGGATTAGGGAGGGGCCCCTGCAGGGCAGAGTCCGGTGTGGTGGCCATGGGAGGTGGGGGGTGGGTAGGTGGGACAACCTGGGCTGGCTGGGGAGAAGCAGTCACCATCCCTGAGCTGGCCTGTGCTGGCATCTCAGCCTGGCACTGCCAAGAATGTGGTCACTGCTTTCCCCAGGAGAGTCCAGAGGGTCCTGGACTTGCCCACGATCACCTGGCTTGTATGCACGTGTGAATTAAGCCTCTGGTGCCCAACCCTGCCATGCCCTCGTGCCCAGTGCATGTCGGACCCTGAGCTGGTATTGCCCCGACCCACCTCCTGGTTCAGCCGGCAGACCTTGTCCTTGACTTCCTCAGCCTCGGCGGCCAGCTCCTGGCTGGGTCTGGTTCCTGCGGGTGGGGTGGGATGAGGGGACACAGGGTGAGTGTGAGAGCACAGACTGGGCCCCTCCTGTCACAGGAGCAGGACATGGAGGCTGGGGGTGGGGGAGAGGCCCGGATTCCTGGGCTGGTGACCAGCCTTTGATGTCCAATGGCCCCACATCAGAGGAGGACACTCTGTTCCTGGCTGGCCTCCACGTCTGTCCTCCGAGCCCTGCACCAGCCCACCCGTTGTTTGCTGTTCATTCTGTCCATCTTTATGTGGTGGGATGACCACACCCCAGGAATGCTCCAGGGCGTACCCCAGCTCTGTGCTCGGGGATTGCTCCTGATGGTTATCGGGGACCATGCGGTGCCGGGGATCAAACCCAGGGCTCCTCCATGAAAACATGTGGTCCAGTGCTCGGTACCTTCCCGCAGCCCTCTGACCACCTCTGAAATCCACCCAAAGGTGTCCTCCTTTGGGGGGGGGGATTAGGGGGTCCCTTCTTCTCCCCCCTCTCCTAACTCACTGCCCTCCTGTCTTGGCACCCCTTCCTGGAATCATCTCTCTGGGTCCCCACATGTCTCCATCGCTGACCTGGAAGCTGGCTCGGGGGCCAGGTCAGCTTATCTACAGGCCACGCAGCAGGCCCTTCCGACCACACGGAATGGACAGGGAAGAGTGGGGTGAAAAGCAAGCAAGTCCACCATGAGCCAAGCCCACAGCTGGCTCCTACCTGTGGGAGGGTCTGGGGGGCGGGGCCGATGGTGCTCTGGCCTCCTACTGAACCGGAAGGTGGGCGCCTCTGCCGTGCTGCCAGAGTCCTCAATGCCGTCCACTATCCTGGGACAGGGGGTGGGGGGTGTCATCAGCCCGCGGGGAGCAAGGGACATGGAGCAGAGCAGACAGGGGTGCCAGGGAGCTGGGAAGGAGCAGCCATCAGAGAGGAGTGGGGTTGCAAGCTGTGGCAGGTCAGGAAGGGTCGGGGGGGACGTGGGAGCAGAGACAGGAAGGAGCACTGGCTGGGATGCTGGAGACTGAGCCCAAAGAAGGTTCTGGAAGCCAGCAGGGGTATGGGGAGACAGGGGAGGCTGGCATCTCACCGGGGACTGAGGTCCAGAGGTCCGAAGGTTCCCAGTGGGGGAATGAGAAGCTGGGGGGGCTTCCAGGCGGCAGAGCCCCTGGGGGGACCATGGGGAGAGGGGCCGTGGCCCTGGCCAGCCGGGGCAGGAGAAGGGGTGGGGGACAGGGAAGGCGAGGAGACCAGGGCAGAGAATGGGGGCAGTTCATCGCCCAAAAGGCTGACCAGGGAGCCCCGAGGCCGTGCTGGGCTGAGGTTGGGCAGCAGGAGGGGCCGCCGGGGCTTGGGGACGCCCCCCGCCTCTGCCCCCGCCTCCGTCTCCGTGATGGATGGCAGCGTCTTGTCAGAGCAGGAGCCCAGGCTTTCGGAGCGAGGCTGCGGGTGGAGGGGACAGTTGGTGGCACCCGCGAGGGAAGCAATGGCACCTGGGGTGGACACACTGCCCTGGCTGCCCCCCGCCATCCCAAAGGCAGGTGCCCCCACTCCAGGACTCTCTCCCACGCACCCTCCCCCAGGAAGGGGTGTTACCTGTGAAAGACGAGGGGATCGGGGAAAGCGACTGAGACCCTGTGGGGACACGGGGGGGGGTTCGAGAAGACTCAGACCTCCCCACTCTCCTGTCACGGCAGCACCCTCTCCAGCCCACCCAAGGGTTCATGAGAAGGAGGGAGGGGGCGGGGGAGGGTTGCGGTGGTTGGGGATATGGGCTGGTCGACCGGGAAGAGTAGGGGACAGGTGTCTGGGATAGAGCCACTGGGACAGAGGACACGGGGCAGGGAGGGAGCCATGGAGGGGGTTGCCTGCGGTTGAAAGCGGGGCGTTTCTGGGTGAAGGAGGCCCACGAGGCCCTCTGGAGCTGGGGAGGCTGCTCTGAGGAGGGCACATACATTGGCGTCGGAGCCCTGGCGCAGGTTGAAGGTGAGGTCCCGGAGCAGCCCAGCCCGGAAGGCAGCCGCGTACTCTGGATAGAGCCTGAGGACCTCGGCCAGCCCGCGGCCGCTCAGCTGCTGCAGGCCGCAGTAGGTCAGAGCCTTCACGTCGGCGCTGGTCTTCAGCACGCAGCTGGCCCCGGCCCCTGAGGCAGGCTCCTGTCCCGGCTCAGGGATATCTGCCCCAATCAGGTCTCCTTTCCCTGTGAGGAAGAGATGGGACAGGCAACTGGGACGGAGGGACAAGGAGGCAGTATGTTGGAAGGACAGTGACAGATGGGTCGTCCAATGGGACCATGGAAATACTCAAAAACGCTGGAGCCATAGCACAGCGGGTAGGGCGTTGGCCTTGCACGTGGCCAACCCAGGTTCAATTCCCAGCATCCCATATGGTCCCCTGAGCACTGCCAGGAGTAATTCCTGAGTGCATGAGCCAGAAGTAACCCCTGTGCATCACCAGATGTGACCCAAAAGGCAAAAAAATAAATAAATAAACTTGGTAAAGTCAGCTGGGAAGGACAGATAAAGTTGGTTCTTTCTTTATTTGGGGAGGGGTCACACTCAGCAATGCTCAGGGTTACTCCTGGCTTTATGCTCAGGAATTACTCCTGGCAGTACGCAGTGGACCATGTGGGTTGCCGGGAATCAAATCCGGGTCAGCCGTGTGTAAGGCAAACACCCCACCCACTGTGCTCTGGCTCTGGCCCTGTGGCAGGTAAATTTGGGAGACAGTCAATGAAATGGTCAATCAGAAGCCCTGGAGAAGGACTGATGGAAATGGATGATCAATAAAGAGCAGCCAGAGGGGTCACTTAAAGGGCAAAAGGATTTAGGGACAGGGGCCGGAGTGACAGTACAGCAGGTAGGGTATTTGCCTTGCATGCGACCCACTCGGGTTCGATTCTCAGCATCCCATATGTCCTCCAAGCACTGCCAGGAATAATTCCTGAGCGCAGAGCCAGCAATAACCCCTGTGCATTGCCGGGTGTGACCCAAAAAGCCAAAATAAATAAATAAATAAATAAATAAATAAAAGAATTTAGGGACAACAAGGAAGTGTTAACAGAGTTGGGAGATAATCCATTAAACTGGGGCTCGGTTACTGGGGAAGAGTTGAACTGAGGGTCTGGTAGAATGAAGGGAGGATCAGAGGTCAGTGGCCAAAAGGGTGACAATAAGGTGAAGGGACCAAGAATTTCAGGAATCCACCAGAGATCTGCATGTCCCTGGACCCGGGGCCACTCCTAAGAGCCCGGGGGCAGCAGGGCGGGCGTGGTGGAGGGGAACTGCTCACCCAGAATGGCCAGCACCATGTCGTCTCGGAGCACCTCAAGCGAGCCGGAGCAGACATAGTAGTGGGCCTGCAGCGCGTCCCCCCGGCGCAGCAGGTACTCGCCCGGAGCGCAGAAGGAGGCCTTGACGTGGAGGGAGAGTGCCCGCAGGCAGCCCCTGCTCGCTGCTCCAAACAGCGGCAGCTGCAGGATCTCCCGATTCAGGTGCATGGCAATGTCCGCCCTCAGCTCGTCTGGGAAGTCACGCAGTAACTGCATAAGGGGCAGAGGTCATTCTGGCTGGCCTCCCTACCTGGCTGGAAGCTGCTGCTGGAGCTCTGCAGAGGGACTGGACTATCTCCAAAGACAGTTCCAGCGCCTTGGGCTGCCCAGCGGCTTAGTTCTGACCTTCAGGAGTTCTGTGTGTCTCACTTCAACTTGATGGCTGGTGTGTGTCCCTCCAAACCCAAGTTCCAGGACCAGAGACTAGGCCACTGCCCAGGGCCACACACAGAGGCAACACACAGGAGGCCTGGCTATAGAGCCTCCCCAAGCCCCCTTCCCCCCCCCCCCCCCCGCCACCAGACACATACACAAGGCCCATCCAGGAGCCTGGAGACTAGAGCTCAGCTCTGCTCCAACATCCCTGCCTATGGCCCTTGAGTGATCCATGGTCTCTCTCTGGGTCTCGCACCTGTGAAACGCAGAGTTACACGAGAACTAGGGTCATATTTAAGGCTCATTTTTTAACTTTTATTTGGGGGAGGGGGTGGGGACATCAGCAGGTGGTTTAATGAAAGGGCCTCAGAACATGGCACTGCCAGGCCCTGTGATACTGGGGTACCCAGGCCACCCCAGAGAGGCACAGGGGATTCCAGGGCCACAACTGGCTACACCTGGGTCGATTATGTTGTGCCAGGAATTGAACCCAGGTCAAATGCATAGGTTAGGTCTGAGCTCTAACCACTGTACTCTCTCCCAGCCTCCTCCTCCACAATCTTCATCTTAAAGAAGCTTCCGGCTTGTGGATGCACTCCACACCCCACTGCCTCCTCTCCCACCTCTGCAATCGCTCCTTCCCCTGTTTCTCCCCTGGTGCCACCTCCTCCTCCTCTGCCCACTCCCTTAGTTCTCTTCTCCATTTCCACATTCTCCCTGCAACACAGCAACAGCTCCATAACCCACCACTGCCGCTGAGCCCAGAGCCAGCCTCAGGGCCATCACAGTCCACCCAGGTTTGCTCCTTTTCACCCCAGAAGTGTCCAGTCTTTCAACTGTGACATCATCATCCCACCCGTTGGCCCAAGTCAGACCCTTGGGAGCCACTCAGCTCTTCCTGCAACCAGCTGGTCACTAAGTCCCAGGTCCTCTGCTCTCAGGGGACCCTCCTTCAACACAAGTCACTCTCCAGCCTAAAATTGGGGTCACAAAGCCGGAGCACTCTCAGAGCAGGGAGGGTGTTTGCCTTGCATGCGGCTGACTCGGGTTTGATCCCCAGCATCTCATATGGTTCCCTGAGCACCCCCAGAAGTAATTTCTGAGTGCAGAGCCTGAAGTAACCCCTGAGCATCATGGGCTGATGCTCAAAAATAAATAGCCGAAAAGCCAAAAAATTTTAAAATAAATAAATAAAAATAAAATAAAATCGGGGTCACACACAGCGGTGCTCAGGACCTTCTCCTGGCTCTGTGCTCATTGGCGCATGTGGTGCCAAGAATCAAACTGAGCACCAACCACATGTCAGGCAAGCGTCTTCACCCTGTCCTGTCTCTAAGCGTTTGCTTCATAAAAATCTAAATTCAAGGGCCAGAGAGATGGCGGAGGGGGGACCATGCTTATTTTGCACGTGGCCAACTCTGGATCAATTCTGGACACTGCATATGTTTCCCTGGGCACCATCAGGAGTGATCCGAGCACAGAGCTGGGAACAAGCCCTAGGGACTGCCAGGTGTGGCTCCCAAACAAACACCTAAACTCAAGGGCAGCCCTGAGCTGGGCCTGCCACTGCCCGGCCTGTTCAGACTCTCCCTGCCCCCTCAGCCCTCTCTGTCAAGGCCACAGTGAGGCTCACCCTATTTCCCACAACATTCCTGCCTGCGTTCCCTGCTCCTTCCACCTGGACGGGCCTTCTAGCAGTTCCTTCTTGTCCTTCACGATATCTGCCCTTTGGGCCACCTTCCCACTCTCCTCTGCACTCAGACACAGCCAGGTGTTCTCATCCGTTTCCTTGCAGCTAATGTCTACTCCTGCCTGCCTCCCTGCAGGCTTGAGGGCCTGCAATCATTATGGGATTCTGGGCCCAGCAGCGAAGCTAGCTCAATGCTGATGCTCAGGAAACAGTGACCAAAGTGAACTTGGGCATGCGCTATGACTGGAGCTCCCGTATGCTAGTGCCACGGAAAAGCGAGTTGGGTGGATGCGTGGCCCCGTTGCTTCACCTCCCTAAGCCCTCTCTACCACCCATCAAACTGGGGGGGCGGCAGTGACTGGAGCAACGGAACAGCAGGGAGAGCTCTTGCCTTGCATGTGGCTGACCCACGTTCACTCCCCAGCATGCCCAGCTGGTCCCCCAGCCCCGTAATAGGAGGGATCCCTGAGCATTGCCAGGGAGGCAGGCTCCTCCCACCCCCACGCCCGCGACAGCGCCGCCCAGCGGCCGGGCGGCGGAGCAGCAGGGCCTACCTCGTTGGCGTCGATGCCACTGTTGACGGCCCACGTGGTCTGGAAGTACTCGAGCATGCGCTGCTTGAGCGGCCGCGGCAGACGGTGCACGCGGATGAAGTCCTTGAGGTCCTTCATGCGGCTGTGGTAGAGCGAGCGGCGCGAGTACATGCGCTGGATGATGGCCGTCACGTTGCCGAACACCACGGCGTGCATCAGCGCTGCAGCGAGCCAGCGGCCAGCGGTCAGGGGCGCTGGCCTTGCACGCGCGGCCCCTGCCCTGCACGTGTCTGGGGAGGGGGGGTTTCCTCCGACCCCTCCCCCTAATCAGGACTTGGTGGGATCCCGGGGCCAGCCTGTGCTGGGTGTTGAAGAAGCATCAGTGAGTCTGAAGTGGGGGCAGGGGGCTCCTTGCCCTGTCTGGGCTTCAGTTTCCCCCCCCCCTCCCCCGCCCCACCAAGCAAGCTGGGCTGAGCGAGGGCCCCAGCCTCACCGCCGATGAGCATGGTGCAGATGGAGAAGATTTTCTCAGCGTCCGTGTTGGCACACACGTTGCCGAAGCCCACGCTGGTGAGGCTGCTGAGCGTGAAGTAGAGCGCCGCGATGTAGGCGCTGCGCCTGGACGGGCCGCCGGCGGAGCCGTTCACGTAGGGCACCTCCAGCCGCTTGCCCAGCTCGTGCAGCCAGCCTGGGAGGGAGAAGGACGGAAGGAGCTAGGGCTGCCAGGAGGACCACATTTCCCTGGACTTTCCATGCTTGTCTTGGGCAAGTATTGACAGAGGGAGCGGAGGTTTGCACCCGATGACTCAGTATGTGCAGGGAGTGACCTGGGCTTCCCCATCAGGAAGTGGGGGACAGCTGAAGGTCCTCGGTACCATGACTGACTGTTCTGTGCCTCTCGCAACTCTCTACTCTGTTGAGCCCCCTCCAAGTAAGACATTCCACCAGAGACTCTCCCTGGCCACTTAGAGTGCTGAAGGAAAAGAGACGTGACATCAGTCATTAGAGGTAAGAGGTGAGCCACTGAAAGGGACGACAGAGTGGAAGGAACCATGAGGACTCAGGGCGATGTTTGGACGCTGCTCTTAGGGCAGAGCATTTGTGTTAAAACTGCAGGAAACAGGAGCCAGAGAGATAGTACAGTGGGTAGGGTGCTTTCCTTGCATGCGGCTGACCCAGGTTTGGTCCTTGGCATCCCATATAGTCCCCTGAGAACCATTCAGGAGTGATTCCAGGGTGCAGAGCTAGGTATAACCCCTGAGCAACACCAGGTGCCCCATCCCCCCAAAAAAAACCCCCCACAAACACAACCTAAAGGGATAAGGGGCTGAAAGATAGCACAGCAGGTTATATGTCTTGCCTTGTATGTGGCTGACCCAGTTTCAATCCCTGGTATCACGTATGGTCCCCTGAGCCCTACCAGGAGTGATGCCTGAGGTCAGAGCTGTGCTGGGTGTGGAAGAAAGAAAGAGGGAAAGAGGGGCTGGAGTGATTATACAGTGGGTAGGGCGTTTGCCTTGCATGCGGCCAACCCTGGTTGGATCCCCAGCATCCCATATGGTCCCCTGAGCACTGACAGGGGCAATTCCTGAGTGCAGAGCCAGGAGTGACCCCTGTGCATCGCTGGGTGTGACCCAAAATAGGAAAAAAAAAGAGAGAAAGAGAAAGAAAGAGAGAAATAAAGAGGGGAAGAAGGGAAAGAAAGACGGAAAGAAAGAGAAAGAAAGAAGAGAAAGAAAGGAGAGAGAAAGAGGAAGGAGGGAGGAAGGGAGGAAGGGAGGGAGGGAAAGGGTCCTCTCAATGGGGAAGAGAAGGAAGACAAGGAGGGACTTCCAGAGAGGAAAACATGACCAGAGGCAGAAAGCAGTGCATCTTTGGTTCTGGGTGTTTTTCCTTTGGAGTGTTGGGGATCAAACTCAAGGCCTCAGGCATGAAAGACATTTGCTCTACCACAACTGTCCTCACTTTGGGTTCTGCAGGAGAGGGTCCTGAGGGCAGAGAGAGCTACAGGACCAGAGGGTTTGGGCAAGGGTGCACTGCATGAGGACAGCATTGGGGATCCACAGGTGAAGGAGACACGGGTGGATGCTGCTCTACCTACACCATCTAATTGTTCCTCCATACTGTGTTGATTGTCCATCACTGACTTGGGTCTCCTGCTATACCTTCAAGGCCTGTGAGCCTTCCCCCTAACCTCCTAAAGAGAGCCCTGATCCTCAGTAAGTATCCCCACACCTGATGGGGAAAGAACCGCATGCGTACGTGTGTGTTGGTGGAAGGGCAGCCACAGTGTGTGGCAGGTGTGAAGACAGCTGGAGGCACCAGCTTTGGGGTGTGTCTGGCAGCTCACCGATGTCCCAGAGCAGCGGGTCGTTGGCCTCCATCTCCCGGCGCCCGATGACGTACCAGATGCAGGCCATCCAGTGGGCGAGGAGCGCGAAGACGGACATGAGCAGTGTGAGCACCACAGCGCTGCACTGCGAGTACCGCTCCAGCTTCTGCAGCAGCCGCAGAAGCCGCAGCAGCCGCACGGTCTTCAGCAGATGCACCAGCGAGGTCTGCGGGCAAGGGGGTGCAGCAGGGTGTCAGTGGCATGCGCCTTCCAGGGCTCCTATCTAGCCCAGCCCTGCAGCTGTGTGTGTGTGTGTGTGTGTGTGTGTGTGTGTGTGTGTGTGCGCGCGGGCACAGCCGGAAAAACATCCCTGCCGTGAAGAGGCTGACCCCCAAGTGCAAGGAGAGGAAATGATACTGAAACCAACCCCAGCTAACGTCAGCCAGGGCTTACTCTAGGTGCCAGCCTCTGGGCCAGGCATATCAGCTCTGTGTGTGTGTGTGTGTGTGTGTGTGTGTGTGTGTGTGTGTGTGCGCGGGCACAGCAGGAAAAACATCCCTGCCGTGAAGAGGCTGACCCCCAAGTGCAAGGAGAGGAAATGATACTGAAACTAACCCCAGCGAACGTCAGCCAGGGCTTACTCTAGGTGCCAGCCCTCTGAGCCAGGCATGTGTCATCCTGTTTAGGGCCACACCCAGTAGCGCTCAGGGCTTAATCCTAGATCTCTGCTCAGAGGTCACTTCTGGCAGTGCTCAGGGATCAAACCCTGGTCAGCCACATGGGAGGCAAGCACCCTGCCTGTGGTACTGTCTCTCTGGCCCTTAGTCCTCTTCATTGGAAAGGAAAGCTGTTTCCTTTTACAACAATTTGCCTTCTGGCCAATGACCCATCCTCGTACCCCAAATTTGCCAGAAGGCAAATCTGCAGATAAGTAAACTAAAGTCAGAGAGACTTGACTTGCTCAAGGTCATAGAGACAACAGCAACTCATTCTGTGCTGTCCAGCCTCCTGACCAGGTGCAGGTAAGACTAAGTCCTGGTCTGAGACAGCAGAGACACAGACTGTCCCTCGCCCTGCCCTGGGGGTCTCAGGGCACCAAGGAGGTGATGCAGGGGCTGCTCGGGACTCAGAGAGCCCGAGGCTGACAGGATGGGCCTGGGGAAGGGCTGCCACCTCTCCTGCGTAGACCAGCTGTTGGGGACAGGCTGATGCTGAAATGTGGAGGGAAGCAGAGGAACTGGATGTGAGCCTCAACTCTCGGCAGGGGGCCCCCAGAGCTGGCCGCACACCTGGCGAAGGCCTGCGGGCATCAGAGACCAGGGTCACTGCCTTCTTGGAGGTGAGGAGCAGGTTTAGCTCCTCACCAGAATCAGTCCTCTAAGTCGGGGCTCTGGGTGGCCCCTGGAGAACTGGTGGGCAGGACTCCCAACAGCACCCCCTGTCAGCCTCTAAGCCTTGACTTAGAGCACTGTAGCACTGTCCTCCCATTGTTCATCGATTTGCTCGAGCGGGCCCAGTAACGTCTCCATTGTGAGACTTCTTGTTACTGTGTTTGGCATATCGGATACATCACGGGGAGCTTGCTAAGCTTTGGCGTGCGGGAGAGATACTCTCGGTAGCTTGCTGGGCTCTCCGAGGAGGGTGGAGGAATCGAACTCGGGTTGACCATGTCAGCCATGTGTGAGGCAAATGCCCTACCACTGTGTTATCGCTCCAGCCCTAGCCCTCACTGTAGGTGATGGAACTAGAAATGGGGTCCTGAATGCACAGCCTGCCTCCAAACTTGAATCCTCCAGGGCTTCTTCCAGTTCCCTGCCCCTGGGACCCTCTCCCTTGGGGCTCTCCTCCCCTCCTTGGAATAGAATGTTCCAGCCTGGTTCTTTCCAGCCTTTGGCTCCACTACTACCTGCTTTTCCCTTTCCCTTCGCCCCACCTCCTGCCAGCCCCACTTCCTGCCAGCATCTCTCCCATCCGCCAGCCAGACCATCCACTCAAATATCGTGGCTTCCTGGAAAATAGGGTGATATGTTGGAAACGATACTTGGAGCCCTGGTTTAAATCTCCTGCCTGCTACTGTGAGCTTTGTGACCTTCATCGAGTTACTTAACCTCTCTGAGCCTCCGCAGGCACCTCCAGAAAAGAGAGGAGTAGGCTGGAGAGACAGTCCAGGTGCTTAGGCACTTGCCTTGCACGTGGCCAGACCTAGTTCCATCCCAGCACCATGTGGCCTTCCAGGAGCTACTGCTGAGCATGAAATCAGGAAAAGACTTGGAGCACCATCAGATGTCTCCAACTCTCTCCTAATAAAAAAGTTAAAAATTAAGAAGAAAAACAAAAGAAGCTGGCCTGGAGGCTGGAGCGATAGCACAGCGGGTAGGGCGTTTGCCTTGCACGCAGCTGACCCGGGCTTGATTCCCAACATCCCATGTGTTCCCCTGAGCACCGCCAGGAGTAATCCCTGAGCATTGCTGGGTGTGACCCCCCCCCCAAAAAAAAGAAGGGTTCCTGTGAGGTTTCTATGGGATCAAGCCTGTTTAAAAGCCAAAGGGCCGGAGCATAGTAGGGCAGGTGGGGCACTTGCCTGGCACGTGGCTGATTGGATTTGATCTCCCGCTCCCCATGTGGTTCCCCAAGCCCCTCTAGGAGGAATCCCTGAGCACAGAGCCAAGAGTAAGCCCTGAGCACTACAGGGTGTGCCCCCTCCTCCCCCAAAAAAAATAGAATCCTGGGGGTAACCAAGGGAGGAAGAAATGCCTGGGAGGAGGGCCAGGGGGCGCTCTGAGGCACTCGCTCTCCCCTAGCGACAGCTGTCTGCTGACACAGCCTGGCTTTGGGGGTGGAGGGCTGCGCTCTGGGGTGGGGGGTGCTGCTTGGACAGGGCAGACATACACACGCGTGCACGTGTGTGGGAGCCTGCACACACGTGTACACAGCCAGGAGAAGAGGCCCACAGCCCGTTGGCGGCTAGTTAAATCGGGCTGCGTGTAGGTGGTTTCCCGCTATAGCTAAGTGTGGCAGAGAGGAGCACACGGGGAAGCTGCTCTCCACCTCCCCACCCAGCAGCCAAGGGGGTCTGGGGACACGGGGTGGGGCTCCCTCACCCTGGACCTGGAAAGATTCTGCCGCCAGGTGCAGGGGAGGGGAGAGGTGATGTAGCTGAGCCTCAGGGCACCTTTAGGCAGTCCTGCAGGCCCCGAGAGCTGGAAGCGCCTAGGCCCTGGCATCCAGCCTCCAAACCCAGCCCAGAGTGTCTCTCTCCTTGTCTGGGCTTACTATGCTCCCCCCAAATGCTCTCTCCTCAGCTCCTGCCAGACCCCCCAAATCCCCCTCTCGAAGAACTCCAGCCTTCTCTCCTTGGAGAGCCTTCCCAGACACCTCCGAGGTGCTGGCCGGGTTTCCCATCATCTCTCTGCATGTTGATGCCGGTTTTTCCAGCCCAGATGCTAGTCTGGAATTCCAAGGTCAGCAAACTGCAGGGTTTGCCCCACATCGCTACCATGCCTGCCCTGCCCCCCAGCATCCACCCCATTCACCTTTTCTGTCCCACCCTCCCCTCCCGCTGTCCCACCTCCGCACCAGCTTAGCTGCTGGGATGTTGGATCTTTGTCCCTTTTCCCACAGTGACCCGGCGCCACTCGGCTCTGCAGGCAGCTAAGTGCTCAACGGTTGTTTGTTAATTAAAAATGTGAAAAGTTACCACTCATCTGGCAGCCGACCAGCACCGCCCTGGTAGCCCTAGTTAGCTTTTCATTTGTCCCCCACTTCCCTCGGAGATGGAGCACTGAGCTCCTGAGGAGTGCAGACCTTCCCAGGGCTTCTGGACCATGCACAGGAGGCCGTACATTTGCAGAAGGGTTGGTGGGAAAGACTGGATGGGGGCTTCCGGCCTTCCCTGCTGGGAGATGCTGCGGCAAAGGACGGAGCCTAGCCCCACGGCTTGGGAGTCACTCACCACGGTGATGTTGAAGACGTAGAGCAGGTCAAAAGGCAGAGCAGCGATGAGGTCGACAAAGAACCAGGTGGCCATGTAGTGGAGGCCAATGGAACGAGGGGCAGACACCACCTGGCCGGACTGGGACACGTAGGTGGTGCGGAAGTTCAAGATGATATCTGGGGGGACAGAAGGGCAGGAGGCTGTGAGTCAGGGACCAGAGCCTGGGAAGGCTGCTTAAGCCGGCCCCAAATAGAGGGGGAGACAGGATCGGGGGCACTGATGGAGGAAAGACTGAAGGTGGTGCTGGGTTGGGGTACAGGTCAGAGCACTCCAGCCTTTTGCTCTGGAGGCTCAGCAATGGGTGGGATCTGCAGGCCTAGATGGGGGTCCCCCGGTCCCAGCAGAGGGTCTGACCCAGGATGAAGAGCATCTCCACCACGATGTCACTGACGAGCGTGTGCCGCGATGCGAGGGGCGTGTCATCATCCCCGGAGAAGCAGACATTGTAGGGGACAGTGACTGCGACGTAGAAGGTGGCGAGGAGGATGAGGCCATCCCAGACGGCCTTGGGGACGCTGTAATGGAGCAGGAGGCAGCGGGCGCCCCCCACGGAGGCCACCTTGTACTCAGGCACTGACGGTTTTGGTTCAAAGACATTCTACGGGGAGAGAGTAGCAGCTGGGGACACATGGTGGAAAGGAAGATCGAGGGGCTGGGGTGGTAGGGAGACCAGGGGAGGAGGAAACAGGGGCAGGGGACAGGAAAGCACTTCCCAGACAGGTGCTGATCCGTCCACTGCCAAGTGCTGCTCGGGCCCCTTTGGTGTCAGTCATGCTCCAGGGCACGTACTCAGAGGCCCAAGGAGGGTATGACAAGTCAGAGACATATCCTCCTGGGACAGTCACTAAGTCTTTTTGTTTTTACTTCTGGTTTTGGACCAAACTTAGTGGTCTCAAGGGCTTACTTCTGGCTGTGCACTCAGGGACCACTCCTGGCAGACGTGGGGGACTGTCTGGGTGTCAGGGAATCAAACCCAGGTTGGTTGGCCACCTGCCAGTCAAGTCCTCTGCCTGCTCCAGTCTTAAGGTCACCAAGTCTTTGCTCAAGTTCTTCTTGGGTTCTGGGTGCCCCACAGGGAGTAGGTAAATCCCAGGGAAAGGCTGGCAAACCCACCCTACTCCCGGGAGACCTAAAAGACTATGACAAAGGGTCAGATACTCAGTCCTCTGGCTTCACTGGGGTCTGAGGAATGACACTGGGATGATCGCAAGATTCCAGGCCCCCAGAGGGGGCTTCCCCCAGGACCTGCCATGAGATCACCCCATCAAGGGGGTAGATGATGTCACTGTCGCTAGAGCCCTGCCCTTATGGCATGGTCAGAGCAAAGCCAATCACAGGGCAGCACAGGAGGTGGGGGTGGGAGAAGAAGTCGGGGGAGGCAGCAGGCTGGGGTCGGGCCCAGTGGGACACGGAATCGAGAGGGCAGAGGGAGGCATCGAAAGATGTACCAGGAGACAGGAAGAAGTGGGGGGACAAGGGTGGGGTGTAGAGGAAACTCACATTGGTTTTCATGCCCCCCTGGCCCCGGCGGCCAAAGTGGCCGGTCAGCCGGTGTAGCACGGTTCGGCTGTGCCTTCTGGCGGAGCGAAGCCTCGAGTTGGCCCCCCTCCTGCCAAGGGAGTTTTCTGTAGGGAGAAAGAGCACAGAGTCAAGTGGAGTCACACCACAGGAGGCCTGGCAGGGGCAAGTCTTGGGTGGCCTCGAGGAAGAACCTCTGGCCGCTCATGCCTCCATCCCCCCATCTCGAAGTTACCATGATTACTGTCCCCGTGGAGCCCTGGGGGTCCCAGGCCAGGGCCCCCGCTCTGAGTGATGTCCTTGAAGGAAAAGAGGAAAAGCACAACCTCCCCCATCTCGTTCTTGATGGGCATCATGTCCAGGAGGCACCAGAAGGCTGAGCCTGTGGGGAAGAGGGATGCTGAGGTGGGTGGGAACAGCCCCTGGTCCCCCACCACCCCTGTGTCCCGGGCAGAGTCAAAGTATTCAGCAAAGATTAATTTGCCACGTTGGAAAGATAGTCCAGTGGGTAGGGTGCTTGCCTTGGACCCTATGACCAGGCTGGGCTCAATTCCTGCTACCACATATGGTCCCCCGAGTTCTACCAGGAGTGATTCCTGAGCACAGAGCCAGGAGTAAGTCCTGATCACTGCCACTGGGTTGCAGCTCAAAACCCAATAAATAAATAAATAAATAAAAGATTATTTTTGCTTTGTTTTTGGGGGCACACCTGGTGATGCTAGGAATTTCTCCCAACAGTGACGGGCGGGGGGTGGGGGGGAGGGTGTTACAGGACTGAGGATAGAATGGAGGGGCTCCAGTGTGCAAAGTAGGTGCTTGGTTATTGAGGTTTCTCTTTGACCCTTTGTAAAAACATGGGGGGGGGCAGGAGAAGACCCCAGGGGTCACATCAGCAACCCAGAGAGCATAGATACACTGTATCCATAGATACACTGTTTCACAGTCAGATGCTTGCAAGTTGGGAGCCAACACACTGATCTCCACAATGCCATGTGAACTCTGAGGGCAGCCTGGGGTCTGAGCAGGGCTGTGCGGTGGGCCAGCGGCCCCTCACCATCTTTGCGGTAGAAGCAGATCTCAGCTCGATGCTCCTGGTGGCCCTCCAGGGCCTTGTGGAGCCTCTGCAGGGCCGGCTCGCTGGTCTCCGGGCCATAGAGGAAACGGCAGCTGCAGGTTTTCTGCATGACCTCCGTGCGCCCGTAGCCCGTGAGCTCGCAGAAGCCGTCAGAGCAGTAGACGATGGGAAAGCCCCGGGGACCCTGTGCGTTGGCCAGCAGGAAGTTGCTATCTGTGAGAAGAAGAGGTCAAGGTCAAGCCAAGAGGTCAAGGTCAAGTCTGAGCTTCTGGGTGGGCAGTGCCTCCCCGTCCACACCCCCCCTCCCTCTGAGCCACCAGAACAGAAGTCACTTAAGTTTCCTTTCAGTCCTGAATCCCCTTTATGCCAAAATGAGAGCCACAGAGCTGGTGCAGAGCCCCAGAGCCTCAAGACTGGACGGGAAGGAGGACAGAGATATTGCTGGAGGTTTGGAGTGGGAACCCCCAGAAGTCATGTGGCCCATCCCCTTGTCTTGGAGCTGGTGTGCGAGGGCTGTAGGAGGTTGCTGGTGAGTAAGAGCACAGATTCCAGCACGCACACCCCCCACCCTTTCCTGGCTGTGTGACCTTGGGCAACTGGGACAAAGTCTCTGGGCCTCAGTTGCTGCTCTGCAAAGTGGGGGATGCTAAAGCTCTCTCACAGGGGCGTTGACAGCTCCAGGAGTTACTTGGGGAGAACAAGTCTGAGCACAGAGAGTGTGCTCCACTGAGAATGCACCCAGGTTCTTTCCAAGCGCCCCCAGAGCAGCCTTGTTGTCAGCGGCCCGGGAAGGGGACAGGGAAGATGCTACTGCTATCACACCCAATTCACTGGTGGGGACCCAAAAGGAAAAGAAGATCCAAACTCACACTTCTACTGGGTGAGTAGAGATCATGCTGGGAGTCCTGATTCCCTGCCTTCCAGGAAAGGGCTCTGTCTAGCATCTCTCCCACCCCCCCACCCCCACACACACTGGAGCAAATGCCCCAGGCTCAGTTCTGACAGGAGGGGGCAGTGCAGTGGGAGCGCCAGCAATCCCAAGGGCAGAACCTAAGCTGACCCCCCTCCAGCTGCAATGGGGGAGGAGATGGGGGAGGCCCCAGGGGGACTCCTATAGGTCATTCAGGGACATCTCAGCTGAGGGAGGGGACCTGACTCACAGTCATCCCCTGGGAGAGAGGAGGTGAGGGCTTGTGGGGTGGGGAGGCTAATGGAGACACGGAGGGTGCCTGAGAAGTGCTGGGCCCTGGGCAGCAGCCTCCTCCCATCCCAGGGCCCGTTACCCTGGTGATGGGCGCTATGGAAACAAGGGAGGTGTGTGTGTGTGGGGAGGCGCGGTGAGGGCCTCAGCGGCAGGTTTCCGCCCTAGGCACCTCTCCCCTCCACCTTCCAGGACCTGGCCAAGGTGACCAGGGGGCAGGGGGAGATTCCCGGGCTTCCAAGGAGGAGAAGGGAAGCGCAGGAGACGAGGCGGGGGAAGAAGGACTGCGGCTGTCCAAGGTGCTGAATCTGGAACCCGCGCGCGGTGGGCGGGTGGGCTGGGACTTCCCCCCTCTCACCGGCACCCGGTGCTGCCCCCCCCCCCCCACGCAGGCAGAAACACACCATCAGCGAGGGGCCCCATGCCCGCCAGAGCTAGCGAAGTCTGGCCTTTTCTCCCCACCTTGCTGCTGAAATCTGACCTTTTCTCCCCTCCTCTCCTTTTATTTTCTGGGGCAGCGGAATGCTGGAACGGATTGGAAGCAGCCCCTGAGCACCTGTCCCACCTCCAAGCTCCTGATGCCCCCTTACAGGCACCCCGCAGAGCACTGCCCAGGGGTGGGCGGCTCCCCAGGCCGCTCCCCCATGTTGCAGTCCAGTCACCCTCCCCGCAACCTAAGCCCCCACCCACACCCCCATCCCCTGGCCCTTTCCCTGCCTCCCCTGGAGGTCGCTCAGCTCGCTTCCTTGAGCGCAGCTTAGGCACTTCCTAGACGATCATCTCCCTGCTCTCCCCACTGGGGGTCCCCCCAGCCCATCCAGGAGACCCGAGCCCGCACGGAAGGAGACGGGTCCCAGTCCGACCCCCATCCCCCCCGCCTCCAGCCTCCGCCCCACTTACGCGTGCCGTCGAAGCGGGTGGCGATGGTGTCCAGGAAGGTGTTTTGCGGGGCCAGCAACCCCTTCATGACCGGCATGGCCTCGGGGAGCAGGGTCGAGGCTCAGCGCAGGGGGCGGGGGGTCGTTCAGCCCGGCCGGGCCGGAGGGGGCGCGCTGCCGGCGGGGCCGGGGCGCCCCATGCGCCCGCCTGCCTCCTCCCCTCCCTTCTGCCGCCGCCGCCGCCGCCGTCTCTCTGCTGGGAACCTGCAGCTCTGCGCGGTGCCGCCTCGGTCCCCCCCGCCCCCCCACCTCCCCACGGGCCAGGTTCTTTCCCCAGGGCTTGGCCCGCGCCCGCCACGTGGCCCCACACGGGGAGGGGCCGCCAGCGACACCCGCACCCCTCTTGAAGTGCCTCCTCCCTTAGGGGAGCGGGGGGGGGGCGGGGGAGCGGCCCACGCGTGTCTCTCCTGGAGAGAATTGGGGACACGCCCACCTGGAGCCCGAGTCTGAAGATACGGGGCGGGGCCCGAGGGGCGGACACGCCCTCCGCCGGGTGGCCACGCCCCCACGCGTGCTTCCAGGGAGGCTCCTGCAGGCCCCGCCCCACGGGTTTCCCCGCGCCGCCCACGCCGGGAACCTCGTGAGTTCAGAGTGCCGCCTGCCGGGAGCTGAAGTATTTCGCAGCACCCCTAGATCTCTGATGGCAAGAGTTAACGAGACACCCCGTGTGGGTTCAATTCCCCACCACCTCATGTGGGCCCCAGAGCCCCTTCAGGAGTGGTCTCTGAACAAGGCCAGGTGTTGCCCCCCAAGCAAACAGATAAACAACAACAACAACAAAAAAGAGTTAAAGAGGGGCTGGAGCAATAGCACAGCGGGTAGGGCGTTTGCCTTGCACAGGCCGACCCGGGTTCCATTCCCAGCATTCCCTGTGGTCCCCCAGCACCGTCAGGAGTAATTCCTGAATGTATGAGCCAGGAGAAAACCCTGTGCATCGCCAGGTGTGACCCAAAACACAAAAATAAATAAAAATAAAATAAAAAAGAGTTAAAGAGACTAGTTCTGTTCCAGGATCTACTGGATGGCTGGAATCTCAAATAATAATAATAGTAGGGATTATTATTACTAGTATTATTATTATTTGGGTTTGGGGCCAGGGTAACTCCTACCTCTGCACTCAGGAATTACTCCTGGGATGCTCAGGAATCAAACCCTTGTGCAAGGCAAACCCACTGTACTATGGCTCCAGTCCCCTAGGGAGCTTGACTCTTAGAATGCTCTGCATATTCTTCACTCTTAGTTCAGGTTACGTGGGGTACCCTGGAGAAGTGCCTCTGAGCACAGTGGGGTGGAGGAAAATGTTGTGACCTCCAGAAAGCATCCCAGCTCTGCCATTTCACCTCTTGAAGCCTTACTTTGCTCATCTGTGAAATGGAGCTAATAGGTTTTACCTCCTTCTGTTATAAGTTCTGTAATAAGTACCTGGCGGGGGAGGCAGGGGGGCTGTCTTCCTCCCTCATACTCCCTCTTTTTACAGCCTTGATTCAGCTCTCCTCTGCTGCCATACAAATAGAAGGGAGGCTGGAGGTAAGTCTGCAGCCGTGGAAGGTTATTTCCAGGTGAGCAGAGGGAATTTGCAATATCCAAAGGCCTGGCTTGGCTTTGATTCCACCTTCTCGGAGATGGAACCAGGCTGGCTAGGAAAAGCCTGGATACAGAGCATTCAGGAAGCAATAAGTTGCTTGGGTAGCTGAGTGTAGTGGCTCAGGGTGGTTGCTTCCTAGATCAGGGAGAGCTCAAGTCAGAGATACTGGGGGAGAGGTGCCGAGAGGGCAGGCCAGTGTCCTGACCCTTACTCCCAGGCTCTGGCTAGGGTGTTGTCTGAGGTGCTGATTGCTGAAAACTGCCACATCTCTCTGTTTCTCCTTTTGGGCATTACATAGGTTCCTAAGATGCTATTGCACAGTACCACAACTGCTGGCTCAAGTTATAGAAACTTTTTTTTTTTTTTGCTTTTTGGGCCTCCCCTGGCGATGTTCAGGGGTTACTCCTGGCTCTGCACTCAGGAATTACTCCTGGCAGTGCTTGGGGGACCATATGGGATGCTGGGAATCGAACCCAGGTCAGCCACATACAAGGCAAATGCCCTACCCGCTGTGCTATTGCTTCAGCCCCAATGTCACTGTCACTGTCCTCCCGTTGTTCATCGATTTGCTCGAGCGGACCCAGTAACGTCTCCATTGGAGACTTTTGTTGTTACTGTGTTTGGCATATCGAATACATCACGGGTAGCTTGCCAGGCTCTGCCGTGCGGGCGAGATACTCTCGGTAGCTTGCCGGGCTCTCCAAGAGGGGCAGAGGAATCGAACTCGGGTCAGCCATGTTGGCTGTGTGCAAGGCATACGCCCTACCGCTGTGCTATCGCTCCAGCCTGCTCCAGCCCCAGAAGCTGAATTTTTATTTTATTTTTTTGTTTTTTGGGGCCACATCTGGCAGTGCTCCAGATTTACTCCTGTATCACTCCTGGTGGGGCTCTAGAGACCATATGTGGTGCAGGGATTGAATCTGGGCCATCTGTGTGCCAGGCAAGTGACCTACCTGCTGTCCATGTCTCCAGCCCCTTTTGGAGAGTTTGTTGATGTTCCTTGAGCTATAGAACTCTCCAAGTGAACACACTCCAGATTCACATGGGTTCTCCCTCGGTGGATCTATACATACCCAGCCCTTTGGGTGAGGGCACTGTTCATGTCAGAGGCCCTGTGTCCTGCCACCACATCACACAGAACTCAATGTATCAGTAACCACCCCATTTCCCAACAAGGCCACACTTAGAAGAGCTGGAAGGGCGGGGCAGGGAGGCAGCTCAAGAGGTAACAGTTGTTTCCTGCTAGAGGAGCAAGAAAATCTTGCCCCATGTCTTCATGGAACTGCTGGTGAGTGTCTGTCACCTGCGAGCCTGGAGGAGCCCTCACCTGCCGGTTCCTCACTGCTGGGTTCTCACTGCTAGCCTCACTCTCTGCCTTACACCGCAGCTTCAGACTCTCAAATTCCCCGTCATTCTGGCAGGCTCAGCTCCCTCCTTTCCCGAGGTTACTCTCCCACCTTCCCCAGGAAGGCCCCAGTGAGAGTGGAGCCGGAAAGGAAGTGTCTGTCTTCATCCACCCCTCCCCGCATGGGGTTCTCCCTTGGCACCGGCTCTGTCCTGTGGGTTCCTGCCTTAGAGCGTCAGATCCAAGGTTACTTGAGGGTCCTAGGCTGGGATTCCTAGAGCAGGTTCTTCAACCTTCAGCCTTTCTTTTCTTTGTCTTCAGGCTAGGGGTTATTTATTCCTAGTGAGGTTTGGGTGCTTGGGTGGGGGGAACCATATGTGATGCTGGGGATTGAACCCCAGTGAGCCGTGTGCAAGACAAGTGCCTTAGCCACTGTGGATCTTTTGGGCCCTCAGTCTTTCTTTTAATTTCACAGCGAAATAGATATTTACAAAGTTGTTCATGATTGGGTTTCAGTCATATAATGTTCAAACACCTTGCCCCAACACCAGCGGACCTTTCCCATCACCAATGTTCTCCATGTTCCCAGTTTTCCTCCCCCCCCACCCCCCTTTTGGGCATTATGGTTTGCAATACAGATACTGAAAGGTTATCAGGTTATCCCTTTACCTAGAGCAGGTTCTTCAACCTGCTTGTTAGTCTTTTCAATTTTTATTTTTCTATTTTGGGGAGGTTTGGGCCACACCCGGAGATGCTCAGGGATCACTCCTGGTGAGCCGCGGGCACCATTTGAAATGCCTGGGGTAGAACCCTGGTTGGCCGTGTGCAAGGCAAACAGCCTACCCACTGCACTATCTCACCGGCCCTTACTTAGTTCTCAGCCTTTCTACTGCTGCTTTACTCCGGGGTGGGCGAGGCGAGGTTGCAGACCGCTGCTCTTGGAACTCCGTGACACTCCCAAGGGGCCCTGGAGGGCGGAAGGGGGCCCACTGGAGAAGAGAGAGTAGCCACACGACAGGGGGAGGCTCGTCTTTATTGCCGCTTATCTGGGGGAATCACCGCAGACGGGCTGAGGGGAGAGGGCGCAGAGGGCCACCCAAGGCAAGGTTCAGATGCCAGACCCTGCCCCCGGCGCGCTGGACGGGCTGGCAGCAGCCTGGCAGCGGCGGCCCAGGCAGGGGCGCGGCGCTGTATCTGCGCCTGCGCGGCGGCCCATGGTCAGGATGCCGGCCGCGTGGTTACCGCTGGCCTGCAGGAGGCGCTGCAGGCGGCCCTGGAGGCCCGCGGGACCCGGCCGCCGCTTGCCCAGCGTCAGGATGCCGGCCGCGTGGTTGCCTGCGCCGTGCAGCAGCTCATAGAGGCGGCAGGAGCACGTCTTCTGGCGACAGCAGTCGGGCAGGGGCTGAGCGGCCACTCCGGGTGACAGCAGCGCGGGCGGCAGCAGCAGCAGCAGGAGCAGCAGCGTCACGGTGGCCCAGGACACCTGGGAAGGCAGGGGACCGCCGCATGGATGCTCAAGCCCCCCGCCCAGGTCCTGCGGGAGCAGTCCGGCTCTCACTGCTTTGCCAGTGCAGCCCACCAGAAACCCTTTGAGACGCCCTCCTCCCTCTCCACGCAGGGCAGCACGAGGCCCCTCTCCGTTCGGTGTAGCTTATGCCCCTTATGCCCCCGTGCCATCGCTGACCACTTCCAAGAAGAGAGGCGAGGGGTTGTAGTGATAGCACAGTGGGTCGGGCGTTTGCCTTGCATGCAAGCCGACCCCGGTTCGAATCCCAGCATCCCATATGGTCCCCTGAGCACCGCCAGCAGTAATTCCTGAGTGCAAAGCCAGCCAGGAGTAACTCCTGAGCACCGCCGGGTGTGACCCCCCCCAAAAAAAAATTAAAAATAGAAGAGAGGCGAGTCTGAATCCGCCAGCTCCAGGAGCCCAGGCCCTGGGGGAACAACGATCCTGTTCTTCCCTGCCAGCAAATGGGCACACAGCCGAACTGGATAAACCATCTCGTCTGCTGCTCCCTGGCACTGGAGACTGGGTTGGGTAATTGGGGGGTGGGGAGTAGGACTACAATTTTCTCACCTGTAAACTGGGAATTAAATGATCCCCCCCCCCACATGCAGGGCTGCAGAAAACAAAGAGATCAACCTCCTCTCACCTGACCTACAGGAAGTGTTCAATTAACACCAGCTTGCCCAGTGAGCCCAATAGTGAAGGCTCCACCTGGTCTGCCTCCGAGCCACAAGGGAATGTGCCCACCTCGGAGACCCCTGTGCCTTCTCTCCAGCACCCCCCGCCCCCGTCCCCCTGTGCTGGGACTCCCCCTTGGTTTCCTGGTCTTTACCTTTGTGGAGGAGAGGTCCATGGTGCCTGGAGCTGGGATGGGTGGCCAGAAGCTGGATGGCAGCAGAATTCCAAGGAGCCTGGAGGTGTGAACTGAGGCCGGTACCCAGGCTCCCCCGGTTTATAGTGCTCTGAGGTGGCTGGGGGGAGACAGGGGCAACAGCCAGGCCCCCCGCAGCAGACAAAGGCAGGTCTAAGATTAGCTTCCCCCAGGGGGGCCGTCGCCAGGCTGGACCCAAGGAATGGCCGCCCAGGCGCTCGGAGGCTGGAGTTATCTCACGGCGCCCCTGGTCCCCCCCTTGTCTGTCTGCCTGCTCCCTGGAGATGGGGTGGTCTCCGAGCACTAATTAGGCCACCTGGCACCCAGGAATCTGCAAGCACAAAGGATGCCTGGGCCGGGGGCTGACAGTGTGGAAGGGGGCTGGCGGTTAATTAGGGGCAGGAGAGAAGGCTAGGAGCCCCAGTCCCAAGGGGTATGGGTGGGGTGGGAGACAGGCGGGGGGGGGGGGGCTGTCTCCCATGCTTTCAGTATCCCTAGGAAGTGTTCTTGGTCCTTGGACTCCAGGCTCTGGCTCCTTAGCCAGTATCCGCACCTCAAAAGCAAACTCCATCTAACTGTCTTCCCTCTGTTCCTTCCCCTAGTCTCCCGGAAGAAGGACCTCAGAGACCTGGACAGTCACAATGGAAAGGGGGAGGGTCCCTGCTCTCTCCCTCCCTCTCCCCCATGTGGCTCCCCGGGTGCCCGTGCTCTGTGCCACCCTGTGCCTGGAACTGGGACATTGGTTGGTTCTCAAGGACCATGGATGGGAGGTGACCAAGTGTGACTGTCACCCTGGGAGAAAGGACACCAAAAGGCCCTGCTTGAAAAGTGTGTTCATCAGGGAAGGGGGAAGTGAATTTGAGAGAGGCCTGGAAGCATCTGTGAAGATAGGGACAGGGGGTGAGGGTTGTCCTCAGAGTTGGGGCTTCCCCCATAAAAGGCGGATGGAGAAAATGAGGTTCAATGGGTCTTTGACTGCGCTACTGCTCTCCATTCTGTGGGTGATGGGGAACTGGACAGGTGTGGGGAGTGGCGGGGGGGAGCAGGGAGGCGCCTGAGACAGTCAGGGGCAGGAATCAGGAGTAATTCCAGGGCAGAACCAAACACTTGGCAGTTGCCCCACACAAATGTCACTCTCCTTGGGCTGAGACATGCAAGGCTGTGGGTGCCAGCTTCAGTATCCTCTCTGTAGGGTGGACAGTTGGCCAGATGGATTGAGGATTGCTTCCTGCTGCAGATAGATTTGCAGGACCAACGCCCTCCACCTCCAGCCAAGGAAGTAATGTGTGGATGTCAGAGCAGGGAAGGAGGGCTGGAGAGCTGCCCCTCAACTCTTAGGTCAAGCTCCGGTGGAGAGAGGTGGGAGAGGGGGCTCCGTCTTCTGGGCTGACCGAGACCTGGGGTCAGCCCAAGCACACATGCCTCTAGCTTAGCCCAGTGTGAAAACGTGGGGTGGGGCTCTGGGCCCCACAGCTGGAAAGGGGAAACCAGATGGGCAGGAGTACATCAGACAGGACAGTTACAATGTCCCCAAAGCAGACCAGAGTCAAGAATCTGTTCAAGCCGTTTATTCATTTGGGAGATGGTCCTGGTACACCCAGGATGGGTGGTGTTTTCTGTGGGGGGCTCACTGGCAGTCTTCAGGGGACCATATGCAGTTAGCCACAGGCAAGTTGTCCCCATATAGTTCTCCAGTCCCAAGACCAGTAAGGCAAATGTGGGGGTTATTGCTGTGTGTGTGCATCTTGTGGACCCAGAGCACCTCAGCTCACCCCAACAAGCACCGCCGTGATGCTGACTCCCATGCTGGCCCACTGCTTCTCAGCCATTGGGGCAGGGCCAGGCTGCCTGGGGCACTGCACAGAGGCCCGGTGGCCTGCAGATGAGAGACGCTCTAGAGCGTCCTCCTGGGGGGTGAGGGGGCAGGGGCCTCCAGCAGGCCCAGCAGCTGCACTCAGGACAACACCCTCCTCTGCAAGACCTGGGCCAGGCCCGGGAACCGCAGGACCCGGGGCATCTCGGGAGGGAAGGGGGACTCAGGGCAGGCTCTCAGGGCTTTCCGGAGGGCCCCAAAGGCCCCAGGCCCCACCAGGTGTACCCTGGCCGGGCCCACGCTGCCCCAGGCGCGCAGGGACTTGTAGCGAGGCCAGGCTTCCTGGAGGCAGTGGTCGAGCTGGAACAGAGGCTCGAGTGAGGCTGGGATAGTGGGCAGGGGTCTGCAGGGGAGGGGGGGTGGCCCTGTGCTATGTCACTCCTCCTCTCTCCCCACCCCTCCCCAGCCCCCAGGCACTGGGCTGTACCGTTATTTCCTGTCCTGGTCTTTTTTACCTTGTCTCGATTTTCCTCTGACAGGTTCCTCAGCCCCCTCAACTCTACAAAGACCTCATAGTGAGGTGCAGAGCCCTGGGAGGAATCTGGAGACAAACAGACAAAGCCGGTGTGATCTCTAAGCGAGATCATCCCCGCTCTGAGGGTCAAGGCAGGAAAGGAATTTCCTGGTGGGAAGTGGGGTCCACGAGAGGGGCCCAGAGCTAAGCCGAAGAGGGGGTGGAGGCGGGGGGTGGGGGGATATGACCTCTCCTCGCCTTCCTGGGGGTGTCCAGAAGTGGGTGCAGGAGGCAGGAAGCTGTGGGGGAGCTTACCCAGGATGCTGCTCTCCACACAGCCATGGTCCAGCAGCTTGGCTCCTGGCCACTGCTTCAGCGCCTGGTCCAGGGCCGCAGAGAACGTGTCCTCACTGACATCCTCTCCTCGAACGCTCAGGGCCTGACCCAGCCTGGGGAGGAGAGGGAGGCGGGCAGAGGCCCCAGGGTGTAAAGGACACCCCTCAGCATCCTGAGGCGGGGGAGTGGGGTCACCTACCTGCCCATGAACCGGACAATAGGACACTGGTTATAAGCACCGGTCACGAGGACCACATCGCCCAGGCGGCACCTGGGGGCAGAGGGGGCACGTCATGCCCAAGGCCCTTTTGCTCCTCCAGGCTGTCCCCGAGGGGCGCTGAGGGGAGGCGGCCACCTGGTGAGGCCGGTGTGGTCAGTCAGCACCAGCTCGTACTCCTGGCCCTCCTGGGCCTCGGCCAGAAGGACAGGGGCAGTGGTCTCGTCCTGGGCGCCTCTCTGGACGGGGAGCAGCTCGATGACGGGTGCTCCGGGGGGCAGAAGGTACAGCCCACGGGGCTGCTCCGGCCACAGGCTCAAGCCCAGCACCCCTGCGGGGAGCCACGATGTCTGGTCTGGCAGGGCCTTTGCTCCTGCCAGGCCAGAGCCCCTCTCACCCGGGGTTTGGCCCCTGAGCATCCCTCCCACAATCCCGCCTTCCCACCTCACTCTTCCGACTCCCCCAAACCCAGCCCTCGTCCTGGAAGGCCCTAAGGGATGTGTCGGTCTAAGCCTCCCGCAGTTGGGCTGAGTTCACGCTGAAAAGCCCTTGTTCAGTGCAGAGGGCCTGCGGGGGCCTGCGGGGGCCACCAGGGCTACACTGGAAGGGCTGAGGCTGGGGGTGGGGGGGCGTCACACAGTGTCCAGGAGCAAACCCAAACTTATGCACTTGGCGCCTGTGTTCTAGCCCATGGGAGCTGTCTCCCAGCCCCAGGTTCCCGTTTAAAATGGAGCTGCTGGTGTTGGGGAGGAGAGAGACGCAGGGCCCGGGGTGGGGGGTCTCTCTGGAGCTCACCTCCGGCAGCAGCATAGGCCGGAGAGAAGAAGGCCAGCCCCCGGCACCACAGCGCTTCCAGGGCAGACACGGCCTCGGCCTGGCCGCCTGCGTCCAGCGTCACCACCACCTGCAGCCGCGGCCACAGCCGCAGGGCCAGTCCCCGTGGCCCGTGCTCCAGGGCGGCCCGCAGCTCAGCTGCCCGGCCAGGTAGGGGTGTGCCTGCTGTCCCTGTGGCCAGTGCCTCGGCCAGCATGTCCCCATCGGCCTCTAGGCCTGAGAAGACATCCAGGAGTTCCGTAGCCGTCCCTGCTTCCAGGGCCCGCAGCCCCGGGGACCTCAGGGCCTCCAAGAGCAGGACTTGGGGGTCCCTGGCCCTGCAGGGGGCTAGAACCTGGCAGGGCCAGGGGAGTGGGTGCAGCCAGGGGGATGAGGGGGTCACCTGAGCCCTGCTTCCTGGAGCCAGCACTTCCGGGAAGGCCTTGTGGAGGGCGGCCAGACCCAGCAAGGTGGCCTGTGGGGACAGAGACAGGGGCTGGCCACAGGCTGAAATGGGGGGTGGGGGGTAGGGGGTGGGGCTGGGCCCTGCTTTCTCCCTTTACCTGCAAAGATGCCTCCCCAGAGCGCTGCTCAGAGCTTGGGGGGAGGTGCTGCCCCCCACTTTCATCCGCTTGGGCCTGGCCAGGCTTGCTCAGAGGGAGATGCTTCCGGAAGGTGTTCAAGTCTGTGGCCACAAAGACACCGTAAACGTCTCAGGAAGCCACAGTGCATCCCAAGAGTTTAAGGCCAGGCTGTGGGGACCCCTGGGGAAAGACCCCAGAACATAGCTAGGGCGAGTGGGAGGCTCTGGGTCCAGGCTGCAGAATCTCGTCTCTGGCCAGTCAGAGCGAGACGGGTCAGACTTGGGTCAGGGGGAGAGCACCTGATTGTCCTGGGGGGCTCTTCTCTGTGGGCCAAGCCCCCCGCAACCCTTGGGAAACACACCTGTGCTCTCCGGGAGGGACCCTCGGGACCCCGAGGCTCCCTGCAGGCACCGCTCCAGGGCCTGCTGCTGGCTCTGGCTGGCGAGCCGCGTGCTCTGCTCTAGTTTCTGCTGCTGCCACGCGGCTGCCCGGCCCAGGGCCTCCTGGGCCCCCCAGTACTGGAGGCCAGAAAGCCAGGACGGCCGGGCACCCTCAGGCCACAGCGAGCTGAGCATGGCCAGTGGCAGCAGCAGCAGAACCAGCAACAGCAGGGCCAGCGGCAGTGGGGACAGCAGCAAGGACAGCAGCGGGGACAGCATCTCCAAGCAGTGTCTGGGGAGGGAGAGACCCTAGGGTGGGTATTGGCGTGAGGAGGGGACAACATGTCCCTCCCCGCCCTTGGCTGTGCCCAGGAACGCCAAGAGGAAGGGCAGCCGGGAAGCAGCCAGGAGGCTGGAGAGAGGCTGGACTTTGGGGTCGCACTGACCTGAGTTTGGATCCTGTGCCCTGGGTGACTGGGTCAGCGGCCTCCCGTGGGGACCCTGACCGGTAAGAGCACACGGTGACTCTCCCGCCCCCAGGGGTAGAGGATGGTCTTATCCCAGGGTCCTGCACGCAGTGGGGCTTATCCAGGAACATGTCATGGCCACTCTCCAGTGCCTCTGCTGAACCCAGGGCCACCCTGTCCCAGCTCCGCAGCCCTCTTAAGCCCTGGAGTGGCGGTTCCCTGGGGAAAAGCACCTGTCACACGGGGTGTAGCCCAGCCCCGGGGCGCTGCTCTGGTCTCACCCCTGCCAGTCAGAAAGTGAAGCCCTGACTTTGGAGGGCGGGTCTAGACGGAAATCCGGCCGCTGGCGCTGGCGCTGGGGAGGGACCAGCAGGGGGTGGGGAGGTGCTCTTAAAGGGACAGGTTGTCCCAGGCCGGAGGCAAGTTGGAGGCGGCCAGGAGCATGGGGGGAAGTTAGGACCCGAGTGGCAGCTTCCTAACTGTGCAGGTGAAGGAGGAGACCGGTGAGAGTGGAGACCCTAAGGACAGGTGTGTTTGTGTATGTGTGTGTTTAATGGACTCCGGGAGTCCAGGCCAAGAAAGAACATGTGTGCATGTGTGCCACACCTGCCAGTGCTCAGGGGCTGTTATTTCCAGCTCTGAGTTTGGGTCACTTCCGGTGGCGCCAGGCAGGTGCCCTCACCCCTGTATTCCTGCCCTGGCACCTCTTCTTATTACTGAGTCAACTTACTATGGTGGTTTCTAGTTGCTCATTAGTTCTAATAATTTGGGTGGGGGTCGGGGAACAGCAGGCAGTGCTAGGTGGGGCTTATGCCTGAGCAGACTGTGCCCAGCAGGCCCTTCTGGAGGGTCTTTGGGGGGCCATGTGATGTGGTAATGCAGATCAGACTCAGGCCTCTTGCACGTGCTCAGCCCACAGAACTATCCCTCGGATTTTTTTTTTTTGAACTTTATTCAAACACTGAGGTGTCCAAACTTGTTCATAATACAGTTGTTTCGGGCATTCTCTGTGACAGTTCCAATCTCAACACTGTATGGGAGCCTGAGGCAGTGAGATGGCACAACAACCACCTTGTAACTGCTGGAAAAATTCACTGGGGGCTAAGTTTCTGGAGTTGTCACAATGGGTGCAGCATATCTGGTTAAAAATTTCACTGGGGGCCGAGTTTCTGGAATTGTCACAATGGGTGTGGTTCACTGTATCCAGTAAAACAGCATCTGATAATCATCAACGGCCCAGACAAACAACGAAGCAGTGCCCACTTCTTGCCCCCTCACCCCCATGTCCCTGCTTTTGTTTCAATCCTATACATCTTATATGTCCTGTGAGAGTTAAATCTCACCCAGGAATTCCCTTTAAAAAAATTGGGGGGCCACACCTAGTGATGCTCAGGAGTTACACCTGGCTCTGCACTCAGGAATTACGCCTGGCAGGGCTCAGGGACCAGATGGGGTGACAGGGATTGAACCCGGGTGGGCTGCATGCAAGGCAAACGCCCTCCCTGCTGTACTATGCCCGGAGTTCTCAATAAACTCCTTTGCTGAATTCTATTCATCTCCTCTCATTGGATCTCTGCTGGACCTTACCCACCAGTGTGACCTTCCTTCCACCCTTGTCCCGTTTCCCTCCACCCCCATTCCTCCCATGCCCCACCCCAGCCAGCCCCCTTGGCAGACACAGAACAATTTGTATCATATCCCTTGTTACAACAAAATGGCAAATAGAATTATCAAAAAAAAATAGTTCAGTAAAAGAAAATTGGTGAAAATTGTTACATCTCACTGTATATCTGTCATCCTGTTGTTTGTTGATTTACTCCAGCGGGCTAGAGCGACAGCACAGCGGGTAGGGCGTTTGCCTTGCACAGGGCTGACATGGCCAACCTGAGTTCGATTCCTCCGCCCCTCTCGGAGAGCCCAGCAAGCTACCAAGAGTATCTCGCCTGCACGGCAAAGCCTGGCAAGCTACCTGTGATGTATTTGATATGCCAAATACAGTAACAAGTCTCACAATGTTACTGGGCCCCCTCGAGCAAATCGATGAATAATGGGAAGACACTGACAGTGACAGTGACTCCAGCGGGCACCAGTAACATCTCTATTCCTCCCAGCCCTGAGATTTTAGCAGCCTCTCCTTACTTGTCTTTCCCAACGACTGGAGGCTCTTTCAAGGGTCAGGGAAATGAGATCTATTATCATTACTGTTTTTGGCATATCAAATACGCCACAGGGAGCTTGCAAGGCTCTGTCCATGTGGCAGGATATTCTTGGTAGCTTGCCAGGCTCTCATATATACATATATATATACACATATATATATATGTAAAGTAAAAGTAAAGGCCCTCCTGTTGATCATCTATTTGCTCGAGCAGGCCCAGTAACGTCTCCATTGGAGACTTTGTTGTTACTGTGTTTGGCATATCGAATACATCACGAGTGGCTTGCCAGGCTCTGCCGTGTGGGCGAGATGCTCTCGGTAGCTTGCCGGGCTCTCCGAGGGGGGCAGAGGAATCGAACTCAGGTCGGCCATGTTGGCTGCGTGCAAGGCAAACAACCTACCGCTGTGCTATCGCTCCAGCCTATACAAATCACAATCACAAATCATCCTGTTATTTGTCGATTGCCTCAAGTAGGCCCCAGTAACGTCTCCTTCATCCTAGCCCTGAGATTATATTCAAGGCTCTTTAGGAGAATGAGACCCATCATTGTTACTGGTATTTGGCATATTGGGTACGCCACGGGGAGTTTGCCAGACTCTGCCGTGTGGGCAGGCTACATTCGGTAGCCTGCCAGTTTGTCCAAAGTAGGAACAAGATGTCATAATAAGATGTCGCGCGGCCGCAAATGCGGCTGCACGGTTCTGGGAGCTGGTTTTTATAGTCTCTGAGTCTTGGCCGCTGATGGGATTACACGGCGCCAGGGGGCCAGTTAGTGGGTGTGACCCCCGCCGACTGGAATTTGGAGGATCTGGGTGGAGGATGCTCGGCCCAAATCTGAATCCAGCCTACATATATATATATATATATATATATATATATATATATATGTCTCAAGAAAAATGGAGACGTTACTGGGCCCACTTGAGCAAATTGATGAACGGGAAGACAGTGTGACAGTGTGATATATATATATGTATATAATATATACATATACATATGTTTTTGGCATATATATACACATCTCACAACGGGGTGATTAAGGTCATTGTCTGCAGCCTTCTGAGCTGCTCTGGACCTTCAGTGTGCTGTTCTTACTGAGCTTCATCTGTGCTACTTTCCCATCTAACCTGCTGTGCTCCTGAGCTCTTTTGTGTAATTTAGAGGTCCAGGATCTGTACAACTGGGACGATCGTTCCACAGCGCACCCCCCTTCTAAGTGGACCCGAGTTTTCAGCCTGAAGACCAGTGTACCTGTGTGTTTCATTGGCTCAGTTTGCATTTCTTCCAAGATCTGTTGTGAAGCTGGGCTGAGGGGTACAGGCATGGCACGTGCGCTCTCTCTCTGGTCCTATTCTATCAGTTTTTTAAAAATATAGATTTTTTTTTGAGGGGTGGGAATTTGCAGCCACACCTGACAGAGCTCTGTGCTTGCTTACTTCTGGTTGCTCCTGGTTCTGCACTTAAGGGTCACTCCTGTTGGGGATTGAAACTATATGCAGTCACCTGTCATTCCGTTGTTCATTGATTTGCTTGAGCAGGCGCCAGTAACGTCTCCATTTGTCCCAGCCCTGAGAGTTTAGCAGCCTCTCCTTACTCATCTTTCCCAATGCTGCCATATTAGAGGCTTTTTCAGGGTGAGGGGAATGAGGCCCGTTATTTTTAGTTTTTGGCATATCGCATATGCCACGGGTAGCTTGCCAGGCTCTGCCGTGTGGGCGGGATATCTGCTCTGGATCTTGGCCATTGATGCAGTAGCAGGGATCAAACTCGGGTCAGCCTTAGCCCCCTGTACTATCTCTCCAGCAGCCCTCTTTAGGGTTCTTTACATAAAAGATCATTTCATCTAGAAACAAAAAACTTTCTATTTTATAGTCCGTTTCCCCCCGGATTGGTATTTTCAAACCTTCCCCCTTATTATTATTTCTGTTTGGAGCTACATCCTGTGCTGCTCAGGGCCTCCTCTGGGCCCTAGGTTGCTCCTGGAGTGAACGGAGGCCTCCCATGGAACTATCCCTCAGCGCATCAGCCCAAACTTGCTCCTCATGGGGGCTGAGAGATGGTCTAGATGTTAAGGCACTTCCCTAGCATGTGGCTGGCTCTGGTTTGATCCTTGGTACATGTGGTCATTGAGCACAGAGGCAGGAGCAGCCCCTGAGGTCTGCAGGTGTGGCAAAAACAAAACAAAACTGAACTACTGCTGTGCCCTGGGCTGCAGAGAGGCTCCCATGGCTGGAGACCCCCATTCGTCAGTGCCCTGAGCTCCAGCAGGAATTATTTCCCTAAGCATAGCAGCCCCCCAACGTGGCCAGCTGTGATCCCCAACCCCCCCCCCCCAGCAAAAAAACCCAAACTTTTCCCCTTTCAAACCAGCTCCTTGGAAAAAATAAAAACAGGACACTTGTCCTTTTAGAGGCTTTATTGTAACATAAAATACACAATTTTGTGACTGCCCCAAATCGTACACAATACTTTTTTTTTGGTGGCTATATACTAATCCATCTGGACACTAAAATATGTATCTGAATAATTTCACAAAGTTTTAAAAAGAAAAATTATAAAAGTATACTTCCATTTTAAGTTATAGTCACGTTCGTCTCCTCCACCCCCACCCCACACCCCCACACAGGGCGCAGAAACACGCGGATGGCTTTTAGGTACGTGTCTGGAGGTCGAGACCTGCCACGGCCACAGGTGGCGGTTGCAGGGCAGGGAGGAGAGAGGAAATGTAACGCAGGGAGCGAGCGCGCCTTCCAGCACCTTCTTTCCCCGCTGGGGGCAGGCACCTGAGGATGCTCGGGCAGCAGCGGGGACAAGCCGGGAAACCAGAGCCTGGGAGACAAGCTTGGCACCCCCCTCCCTCCCCCACCCCACATAGGCCAGCAGGAGGGGGCGGGGCTGGGGCTCCTCCTTCCTCGCCCCTTCCCCAAGTGCTCCAGGCCTGGTTGCCTCATGGCTGCAATATCCATCGGCCTTGGAGGGGCAGGGAAGGGGCATAGCAGCATCCCACCTCTGTGC